TTAGGTCACTGACGATTTACCAAATAGCTTTCAATTATATTTTTTTTAATTTAAGAGTTTTTTAGATCGCTGAATACGAATTCAATGTCAAAATTGTCAAATTCAAAATAGTGGACTCAATATGACGGATATCAAAACTTAAAAAAATGTTTAGATTGCAATCTAAAGATTTGAATCCACTATTTCGAATTTGACAATTTTGACATTAGATTCGTATTGAGCGACCTAAAAAACTCTTAAATTTAAATAATAATTGAGAGCTATTTGGTAAATCGTCAATGATCTAAGTCACAGCTAACTTCTGCAATACACTTCATATTTAACCATGGACATCTTATTAATCATAACGGACACCAAAAATTCCTTTTGAGGTTTGAAAGTCCTAATAACATACTTTATTTTGATTGTAATAAAATTTCTCCAGCACGTCATATATTGTAGCTATAACATGACAAAGTTCGTGAAAATAGCCCTTTTTTGCAACTTTAATTACAAATTTTTCAAAATTCTGACGTGATGGAGCAATTTCGAAACCGAATTCGTGTTCGGCGTCCAAAAACATATAAAAAGCGACTAGTCCCGTTCCGGTGTTGAAAAAAAAGTTATTTTTTGTTGAACGATGTAATAATTACACAAAAGAAAGATAGAAAAGTGTAAGAATCTTTTTTTTCTATTTTTATCATTAATAAATCGATATAATCGATTAAGTTTATTTGCTCTGAACATTTGTTATAAAGCGAATTAATTTAATTGCTGTGCTAAAAAGAATAACTTTATGGCAAACTCGCTATTAAAAGATGTAAAAAGGATAAAGCAACTCGCGCTCGCGACACGTGTACTCATGACACAAGGATTATGTCCTTGATCTTCTTGCGTATGAACCGTTTCTTTACGTGCCCACGCGCACTTGTGTGTGTGTGTGTGTGTGTATGTGCTTCTCTGTAGAAAATCTCTTTGCGCCACGTCCGCGCTTTTCCAAAAGCAACCTGATGAGATGAAAGCTTTCGCACACGGTGTTTCTCTCAGCCGGTGCCGCTGAAAATGTTTATACGTCGGTCCTCTCATGTGCCTTCTATGTTCTCGGCTTTACGGTAGCTTTGGAGTTTCCGCACTATATCATCTCTCCGCCCGGTTTCCTCTCTCACCTTTACATCTCTATTTATATCAATAATGAGAGATATATAAATACTCGAAAAATATTTTACTTTATTTGACTCTCATAATTTTGGGACTTTCAATTTAATTAGCACGCTACTTGAATAATAAAAATATCTACACTCAAAAATAATTACACACGCATATACTTATAATATATTATTTTTTGTAATAAATAATTCATGTTGTTGGAGATGTTTTTGCATAATTTTAATTAAAATTATGTCCAGTCGTCGCTATTGTCATAGGTACGTAATTTTCCATAATATTCCACTGGATATTTAATGCTACACGGTTCGCTGTTTTTTATTGCTCGCATTGCGCATTTGAATACTTTCTCTATCTTCATTTAAATATTTGACATAAACTTGATTCTATTTTATTTGACGCTTTTTTCGGTTTTGTCTCTTTCGCGGCTAGAATTACACATTAAGCAAAATTTTGCCGCACAGGTACTCTTCGTCGTCACTCTTATTCATTCCGCTCTTAATATTTTCTCGCATTCCGACCTATGATACTATTAAAATTAAATTATTCTGTGTTTTATGAAGAATTTGCAGTAAAGCGCTCCAAACATTAATATTCGCAATATTCAAAAGAATGCAAATGTTTATTTTAATAATTAATACACTCTTGTAATAGAAGAGAATTTGTATCTAAATAAAAAAATGTATTAATATATAACAATATAAAACTTTATTTTTATACCACTTTTCATTCTAAACAATCTTGATGTTCAATTTATTTTTTTTTTTTATAAATTTACTTTTCAACCTTTTCATAAAAATTTCGTACACCATTTGGATATTGAAAAGAACATCATGTGTGCGCTACCCTCGCTTTTTTACGGTTGTGTTTTTTCTCACCTCGCACACGAATGATCCAGCCGATCTCTGGCGTGCAAGAGGATACGGCTGTATTTATCGGTTGTTTCAAAATTTATCGAGCCCACGGCGCGAGATTATTTATTTGCTCCCCGATGGCCTCAATATTCGGCAATGGCCTTAAAGGTCGATCGTGATACGGCCGGGGGGTTCGCTTTTTATGGCTGCGAG